AGAGACAGGGCCAGGACCCTGCTGCAGGGATGCTTGCTGGCCACCCAGCCCCATCGCTCAGGTCAGGGTGGTGGGGAGCAGCCCCGCATCCCTGCTGGGAGCCCATGGTGGGGAGGAGGAGGATGCAGGAGAGGTGGGTGTGAGGCTGGGGGGGGCCAGCAGACCCTCACCCCCACCCCGGCGCCTTCACAGGTTGCTGAACAGTTCGTTTTTCTTGCTCCAGTCCATCTGGGGTGCCCGCTTGCTGGTGCGCTTCTGGTGCGCCCGCTCCTTGGCCACCGCCAGCGGGATGTCGAGGTCCAGGAGGGAGCCAGGTGCCGAATGGCGCTTGTCACCCTCCTGTGTGTCAACCTGGGGGATGAGAGGCTGTCAGCCCTGCTGTGCTCCCCCCAGGCAGCCCCACAGTGGGGGCTCACTTTCTAGCCACTGCCTCCCCCTGGCATCCCCAGCCCTACCTCGCTGTGGGTCTCGCCGGAGTCGGGGGACACAGCCAGCAGCCCAGGGCTGGACGGGCTCTCGGACACCGAGCTGGACCGCAGCTCTCCGCCGTTTTCCTGCGAGGGGAGCAGGGAGTGGGCATGAGCAGGGCAGCTCCCGCCCTGGGGTATGGGAACAGCCCCCAGAGTTATGACTCCCACCTGGGGGGGCTGTGAAATCTGTCCTCACCACACATAATCCCCTGCGAGCTCCAGGCTCATAAATACCTCCAGCGCTCCCCATCCGGGGAGGGGAAGGATTAAACCCCAGCTTGGCTGCCCCAGCTTTAGCGGTAGGAGGAGGGTGGCTGCAGAGCTGGATACTACTTCCCTGCAGCAACACAGGGGCTCCCAGCCCTGCAGCATCATGAGGATGGAGGAGGAAGAGGAGGAGGAAGGCAGGCTTTGCAGCCACCTCCGTCACATTCAGCCCCATAAACAAGGGCAGGGGGACGCCAGCTCCCAGTCCCCTTCCCAGTGGCACCTGCTCTTACGTGGCAGCCTGGGACCACTGTGGTCCCTGGTGGCACCACCCACCCATGGGCAGAGGGGACACCTAAACAGGCAGGGTCCCTGCCTGGAGAGTGGCACAGATGGGATGAAAAGCAAGACAAGGCTCTCTTACCTTCCCTATATCACCATTGGCAACCGGTTCTGGCAAGGGACCTGCAGGGTGAGGACATGTTTGCTCTGTGCCCTCGCCAATGGGCACAGAAGTGCCCAGCAAAGGCTGTGCGGGGCCAGCGCTCACCCAGCACTGGCCAGATCCCAAGTTTTTTTAACCCACCCCTCGCAGCCATCCCCACGGCACAGGGGGGATTGCTGCCAGGCACCAGCATATCACCATGATGACAGCCATGACATGGAGCCCAGTGAGACCCCTCCCGTCCTCCCGGGGACCACTGTGACAGCAGCAAGGGGGGGCCACGGCTGAGCTGATGAGGAGAGCTAAGGGTGGCTGCTGCCTGTTTGCTCCCCGAGCCATAAACCCTGCCAAAGTGCAACCTGGGGCCATAAACCTGCCTTCCCGCAAAGCCCACGTCAGCCCCACCACCCCGGCATGGGGCCCTCAGTCAGGCAGGGAGATGCCAAGGCTGAGTCACCCTGTTTGGCCCCAGGGTGATGAGATCCCCACCCCTCAGAGACTCCCCCAGCACCCCCAGGTTTGGTGACAAGGTAGCACAAACCCCGCTCCCTGCAGCACAGTCCCCAGCCCACCTGCCAGGTGCTCCTCGGAGGGCACCACCCTGCATTTCTTGAAGAACTCATCCGTGAGGATGTCCACCACCAGCAGCCTGGTCTCGTCACCGCCTGCCTTGATGGCTGCCACCACGTCGGCGTGCTGCTTGCCCTCCATGCACACCCCGTTCACCTGCGGGCATGGCACCACGTCACCACTGGAGCCATGGGACATCGTCCCTCCGTCCCTCAGGAGCTCCACAGAGAGGCCAGGCACCAGCCTTCGTACCAGTCACAGCCCCAGCACGGCCACCCCACAGTCCCCACAGGTATCTGCAGCTCGCAGGGATTAGCACCGAAGCCAGCAAAACCTCATTAAAAGCAGATTTTCCTCTGAGTGATTAGCACAGCATTGTACAGACAAAACTGGCAGGGAGTGCCTAGCAGAGCAGGGACTGGGGGATGCACGGGCAAAGCACAAAGCCCTCAGGTAACGGCATGGTCCCCGGACACCTCAAAGCTTCACCCCAAACGAGGCAGTAGCCCCACGCCCTGGTGAGCAGCGGGGTTGGAGCTCAGCTGATCCTTGCCTGCCTGGGCCACCATCCCGCCTGGCACAAACCCTGTCCCCACCCCGGTCACAACTGGCAGCAGGGCTTGGGGCCATCACGCACCTTGTCCTCAGCCTGCCCCACCCCAGGGACAGCCCAGGGACACTCCTGCTCCAGACAGGGGACAGTGCTACTGTCACTTCACCCACAGCTGACTAATTAGTGCTCAGCCCCAGCCCTCTGCAGTGCTGCTCCCCGCTCCCTGCCACCCGCCCGGCTGCACCCCTGGGTGGGGACCAACAGGCTGGCACGGGTCGGGCAGCTGCACCGTGAATCACTGCCAGCACCGGGGACACCGCGCACCGTCCCGGCAAAGGGCACCTCCCTCCAGGCACCGGGATGCGAGGGAGCGCTGAGCTTTTTGGGGACACCCTCCCTGCCCCAGCATACCTCGATGATGCGGTCCTGGGGAGCCAGCCCTGCCGCCTCAGCTGGCGAGTCGGGGTCAACGGCGCGCACGTACTGCCCCGGGCGGCTCTTGTCGCTGTGCAGGTTGAAGCCGTAACCGTTGGGGCCCTTCTTCATGCGGCATAGCCGAGGTCGCAGCTCCTCCTGCAACAGGGACAGCCTGTGGGAACACTGCTCCCAGACACCCCCTTGACACCCAGGGACAGCACCAGGATCACCAAACGGCTGCTTGGGTGGCAGTGACAGCATCCTCAGGTGGCCAACTGCACCCACAGACACCTTGAGTTGGGACACAGGGTGCCAAAACACCCTGTGAACACAGGCTCTACTTAATTAGTTAGGTGTAGGGCACACTAATTGCAGCAAATCGTTAAAGAAACATGTTGTTATGTTTGTCCCAAGACCATGCTCTTCCTTTTGGGATCAGGATTGCAACTGCCACATGAAGGTGGAGGAGGAAACACAGCCCAGGCTGCTGGGAAGCACCCCCACCCCACCCCACCCCATCCCACATGGGAAGCCTCTGCTACTGGTGCAGATCCCCTCCATCACCTCCTTGCAAGCTGCAGCCCCCCCACCATGGCAAACCCAGCCATGGGACCAGCAGGACCCCCCACTGCAAAGCACCCCACAGCTGTTAACAGCAGGGAAGGGGCACACGGGGCTTGGGCAGGCAGCTGGGATCCAGAGGGAGCAGTCCCGACGCTGAGGCGACCCAATGCCCTGGCACGACCCTCTGCAATTTCAAAACAGAGAAACCAGCTCGACCAGGATAGCACAACACGGCAACACCCAGCTCGTCTGCGCCCAGTTTCACCCCGACCTGTGGATCCGCCAGCACCCGGAGCTGGGGAACTCGACTGGGGCAGCCACGGCCCCGCACCCAACCTCCCCACGAGCCCATCAGCAGCACAATTCCCCAAATTGTGAGCAGCGGGAAGCATCAGAGGAACCAGGCGACATGAACCGGGCCCTGCACACAGCAGCATCATATCCACTCCAACCCCAGCACCCAAACTTTTACATATTTATAAATAAAATGGTTTGATTCTGCCTTGACCTACAGCTCCTGGACTTTGGTCGGGCTCTCCCAGCAGCCAAACCACGCTTAAGCTCCTGAAATATTCCTCACCAGGGGAGAGTTATTATTTATTCTTTCTTCTGAGATTGTTTTTTTCTCCTTTGGTGCCCATAGTGTCACTGGGGACACACACTGCAGGAATGTCCCCTACCACAGCCGCACTGCGCAGCTCTTTACCCCCTTTACGGCACACACTTCTTGCTATGAAAATCCCTCTGCTCCCTGCCTGGAAAACCTGATCTTTGGGGTGCTGGCACCCCACATCTGACAGCACTGCGGTGGCACAGGGTCCCACAGGGGCCAGGGTGACGCATTTGCAAATCACTAAGCCCAACGCTGCAATAAAATCCCTGTCGTCTTGCACAACGTCTTCCAGCAGGGTCAAGGCCGGCTGCCGCCCCAGCACCGCTCACCAACGCCCCGGGGAGGTAGACACACGTCTGCCGGTGAGCGAAGGTGAGCCCGGGATGCGGCAGCCCTGGCAGCCACGCAGGACCTGCTCTGCCCGTAGTTCGGCAACGTCTGGTGCAAGAGCCCAGCTGCACCCCGAGGAGCTGGTGGTGTCTCCTCCACAGACTGGCAGCAGGTTCCCTGGCTGCGTGGAGGACTGTGACATCTCGACTTCTTCCCGGACACCCCTTGGTCCCCTCCCTGGGGCTGTGGGCTCTGCCCTGGTTCCGGTGCCTGGGTGGCAGCAGGTTCACAGGGTGCCCGAACTGCTGCAACTGCACCCGCCGCCACAGGCAGCAATGCCTAGTGAGGATGGGGACAGGGAAGCCCCACAACAAGGCCAAAACGCAGTAGCTGGTAGAGCCTGGAGGAAGGCAGCACCTCCACGGGTCCCTGCCCTGGCCCAGCCCCGGAAAGGGGGTTCAGGCTCTGTGAACACCCATGCTCCCAGTGCCCTTGGCAGCACCACAGGGTTGCTCCACGCCGATAGCTTGGGACAAAGCCGGAGGGAGCACCCGGCAAGCTGTGCTGGCAGCGCTCCCAGGCAAGGAGGAGGAAGAGGAGGAGGGAGGACTTTGCTTCCACTGGTACCAACAAAGCCCCGGCAGCCCAGGCTCCCTGAGACACTGGGGCCATGAATTGGGGGCAAATGGCCCTGCAGGGTGGACAGATGCCTCAGGGCAAAGGGACAGGTCATGGCAGCGAGGGAGGCACCAAGTCCTCAAAGGCAGCAGTGACAGCAGGAGCACCCAGGGCAAGGGCAGCCTGGCCAAGCTGTGACCCGGCCCCCCCAGCATGCCCCCACCAGTGGCTGGCAGCTCCTCCAGTCCAGTGTGCCAGGCTGCCTTCACCCTCCCCAAACCTCTTGTGCCTGCAGAAACCCTTGCAGGCAGCCACCATTCTGCCTCCCTGGGAGAAAAATATAAGTACATCCGATCCTCCAGCAGCTATATCCTGCCCATCCATGGGTGACACCCTGCAGCAAGGCACCCCTCCAGCCCTGAAGTGCCCCTGGCCAGAAGGGACCCCAAGTGAGAGGTTTGGGGTTGACACCCAGGATAAGGAGAAGCCCCTGGATAGCAGGAAAACGAAAATGCCTCTATTTTCTATGAGCTTTTGTGTCTTCTCCTCCAATGCCAGCAGCCCTCCGGCTGTGCTGGGGCAGGGATTAGCCAGCAGAGCCTCGTTATGAGCAATTACAATCTCCAACAGGAAGGGCAGCAGGGTAAGCAGGACTCAGCACCCGGCACGGGCATCCCATGCTGCCCCTCTCCTCTGCACCCAGGGGTGGCAGAGGGACATCACCTGCCTGCAGATATGCCCACTTTGGAAGGGGAGCTCAGCAGCATCACATCTCTATTCCTGCCCCAAAACAGGACTTTGGGCACCTCCAGATATTTCTCCCTCCAGGATCATGCTGGACCATCCCTTCCCAGGACCTACAGCCACCCAGCTGGACCAGTGGCGCCAGTAACGTGGGGACCCCAACCACATGGTGTGCCAGGACCCACTCCCAACCCCCCAACAGCAATTTCAGGACAGCTTTTGAAGCCCCAAATCCCAGGAAACTCCCCACAACCCTACAAGCAGCAACAAGCCCATCACCAGCAGCATTACCGGTTAGTCAAAGAGAAACACAACAGCTCTGAGGACGCCTGGGCCAGCAAATTCACATGGGTCCTGAAATCTGGCGCACGCATTCGGGCTTCATACAAAGGGGATGCAAAGCAGCCTCCTTGCAGCATCCCCATCACGTCCCATTTGACTGGAGCTGCTTTTCATGCAGCTGCCTTGAGAGGAAATTTAATTCATTTCCTAATTAGACACCAGCTACCCCCAGTGCAATGCTCCCAGATGGAGGGATCTGCTCCCTCTTACACCCTAAAACCCAGCCCTGGGAGGCTCACCAGCTTTTACGAGGAGGGATGAGCACTGCTGGCAGGGAGGGCTCTAATTTAGCACTAAATTTGCAAGAGAGAAGCCCACGGCTGGTAGCAAAAGCCTTGTCCTGGTAAAAGCAGCCACAGCCCATGCCAGGGCACTGGGCTGGCAGCTGCTGGTGCTGTTCCGCTAACGCCGTGCGGTTTGCATGAAACTTTCTCATGACACTCCCCGGCAGCTGAAGGCTCCGGAAATGCAGGCGGGGGGAGGACGAGCTTTCACAGCTCCCAGCTGAGCCCTGGGGACAGTCCCCACAGGGCCCAGGAAGAGGGGCTGGCCTTGGAGGTGTAAAACTGTCACCTCGCTGGCACAGTGCTGCAGAAGGGTGCATGGATCAGCTCCCCAGGTCCCTCCAGAGAGGTTCAAAACCTCCACCCCAGCATCAGGGGGATTTGTACAACCAGAGTTTTATAGAAATGAGACAGGAGCCCATGAGAACCCCCCCAAAAAACTCCTCAGCCCACACCCAGCACTGGGAGCCACAGGGGTGCCTGAGCCCACCGACACAAGGGTGTCCTGACCATGCAGGACTCAGCAGGGTTTGAAGAGAGGTTGGATGCATCCATCCAAGAGAGCTTGGATCCATCTTCAAAGATGTTAAACCCTCGCTCGACCCCAGGCAGGGAGTGAGTGCTGCTGGACGGCTCTGAGCATCTCCAGGCTCATTAAGTAAATAAAGGCAAGTCCAGCCCAATAAAGCAAACAGGACTCTGACACATGCAAACCACCTGCTCCCCACCACAACGATCCGGGGGGAATCCCACCAACCCGTGGGGCTCCGAGAGGGCTGGGGGGGATGGGGCAGCACCCATCAACAGCAGGAGAACAGCATGTTCCCAGCTCGCCAGAGAGAAATCCCTTTCTCCCTGCTCCGGTTTGGCAGGGCATCCTGCCCGGGATCTTCCCACCCCACCTGGCTGGGGCGATGTCTCCAAACCCACTCATCTTCGCTCTCCCGCCCCGAGCTCCGGGCCCTGGCCCCAGCCGCAAGATTTCCTGTTACCTGTTGAGAAACCGTCGGGCGCCTAGCAGCAATGTCACCCTGTGTCACCCACTTCCTGCTCCCGCACAGAGAAACCGCCCGCTGTAACTACACAGGCTGCACCCCCAGCTTGCCCCCCAAGACTGTGGGGCACCTCCAGCCAGGGCTACACCACCTTCCAAAAGCCCATGGGACACCTCTAGCTTCCCAGGCCCTCCACATCGCTCCGGCCAGTGCAGCCCCTGTGCACGAGCATCCACCCCGCAGAACGTTGGGGCTCTGTCCCCCGTGGGGACCGCACATCCTCAGCCCCCCAAACCTGGCTGGAAACTCGCCTGAGCTGCAATAACTATGTCCCTATTATTTTTCCCAGCCCATGGAGAGGTCTGGGAGCAGAAAGCACAGCACAGACGGTCTCACTGGCACAGTGACATACGGGAGGGCAGGAACATTCCCCCAGAGCAGGGCAGCACCACAGCCCACCATGGGGCCAGACCCGAGGGACTGGGGATGCCATGGGGAACAGCGAGCAAGTGGGGTGGTGACAGGGGCAGGGCCTGGTTGTTGCCATATGAACAAGCCCCTCAGAAGGTGTTGGAGCACTGGTTTAGCCAGGCAGACATGAGACCAGTGCTCTGCAGTGGATCAGCCTGACTGGGGGCAACGGGCAGCCGGCACCGGGCTAAAGTCCAACAGGAGACACAACTAATAAAAACACTTGATCCTCAGCAAAACCCAGTGTGACAACAGCTCAGTGAGGTACCAAACTCTGCCTGGAGCTCAGCACCATCACAGCCTCACAGCACCAGCCTGTCACAGCTGGTCTTTGGGAGTAGGCCCTAAGAGCTCCCCAAAAGGTCCCCCACCCTGGGGACACCAGGAGCCTGCTTCCTCAGAAGCCCATCCACATCTCTGTTGTGACAACAAACACAGGGTTTTGCTGGGTAAATAAAAAGCAGTATTATCTCTGTCAGCCCAGAACGTTTCTTAGGAACCACTCCGGGCAGGAAAGGTCAGCTATTTCTCAATTCCTCACCTTTCTACTTCGCTTTGTTTGTGCAACAGCTAACTCCCACACGTCGCTTAAGGTCGACATTCCTGAATTACTAAGTGTCTGTCCGCATCGACTGACCGACAGGATCGGTCTCCCCAGACTGGGAAGGGCTCTGCCACCTCCGCTCTGCCGCAGAGAATAGACACGCTCAGGGCACAAGTGACTGCCACCAACACCTGCAGTCACAAGCCCCAGAAAATTCACACTTCCACAGCATTTTCTGTTGTATTTTGGAGCGGGTTAAGGCTGGTCACACTCAGCCCAGCCCTGGGGCTCACCTGCACGTCGAAGCTTGCTACCGCCCTTGCTCCCTGTTGCTTTTCTCACCCCGTTTTACCGGCCCTGCAGCACAAAGAGGGGCAGAAGGGCTCCAGCACACGAGGGGGGTTGCTCGGTTATGGGCCCAAACAGCCCCATGTGCCTGCTTGTCCCCGCTCATCAGCCATCACGGCTGGTAAAGTGTTAAGCAAAAAAAAAAAAAAAATTGAATAAAAAAAGGAAAAGGAGCAGGGCGCGGCAAGGCCCGCTGCTCCTGGGGAGCCGCGTTTAAAGCGGACAGAAAAGAAAGAACCGAGAGCGAAACGCCACAGGGCGCCCGGGGGAGGCCGGGGCAGACGCAGCGGCTGCTGCTCCCGCTCGCTTGGCCGGATGGCGACGACCGGGG